CGGTTACCGATATGAGGGCTCTTGAAATCCCGAGCGGGTAGGAGTCCATGGCATAGCAAACAGCCCTGTCCTTGGCCTGGACTGGTCCCTTCGCTGACAGTCTCCGCAGCTCGGCCGAGGTTTAGAGGCACGGAGACTGAACTACCGCTTCATGGGTATGGGAGACTGTGCATTTCTTATGCATGTGCCGTGCCTGCTGTGGGGCTGATCTGGAGGTTGCTGTTCCTGTGTCATTAACCTCTGCTAACAACAACTTGACTTTAAAAATGTCCCTTCCAGTTGATCGCATCTCAGCTGCACTGAGGTCTTCAGCATGAAGCATCTCTGCCCTTGGTTACATCTAGCAAGCCCCAGGACGTGAATGGGATTGCACAGGTGGAAAGGAGGGCAGAATCTGGGCCGCTGTGCACTCAAGAGAAAAAGCCTTATTCTTTATTAAACCTTTCACAGACAGCCTTTGTGATTGCCCTGGCAATGCCCACACTGAGGTCAAATCAATGGTAGTTTTGCTGGACCTGCAAGATTAGGTCTGCTGTGCCCATTCTCCAAAATGTTAACATAGGAAATTACTGAAGAACTGGTGGTCACGGCTGTATATGCTCATGGTGTGAGGATATGCACACTACAGAGAACAGGTGTGTCTTGGAAGAAAGATGCAAAAATACAGTAACTCCTGCTGGGACCTGGAAGACACTCGAACAGGTTCAGTACCTTCTGTAAAACTTTTCAGATGAGTCCATTTTAAGGCCTGACCATCTAATTGCCGTTAGCATGAGCTGGAATGATGCTGGCATTGCAAAGACACAATAGGCAGCCAAATAAACTGCAGGTAGAATATCATATGGCATGACTGCTCTCTCATGCAGGGAAAAGGCAGCCTATAGTATCTAAGGCATAGAGTAAAAGTACCATATTTATTTGAATATGAGTTTTTTGCCCCCAATCAGCACGGGGGAAAAAGCCCCTTGTCTTACATTTGCATACAAGGAAATCTCACTAAATACACTGTCCATCTTTGAACTGCTGCTAAAAGCAGTGTATGCTCAGCAGTGGAAACCAACTGTGACATTGAGTAAATGCAGCCAACGCTGATCATGCCAATAAAATACATGGACATTGGACAAACATGCTGATGGGAGCCTACCACCAAGACAGGTTGGTGCAACCCATCTGAATAAGATATATGTTAGTGTCCACTGAGTGCCGTCCCTCTCAGCACCTCTTCTTTTTTAATCTCGTGGTGAGCCACCAAATTGCATATATTTTTTACTTTATCTTCACTCCCACAGCTGAGCTGCGCCTATCTTTTCCATTTCCAACGAGCCCTGTTTCTTCACCAGCCTTAATGGCCTGGCAAACATCACCAAACAGGGCTCCAAACATACCTCTCTCATATGATTAGTGGTCCCTCCACGAGGTGAAGCTGGACCAGGATGCCCTATGTCTCATCTGCATCTACATCTTGGAGGATCCCAGGACTCCTGGAACACCTGGTTCCAGTGATGAGGAAGGGCTAATTAGCACGCTTTGTGGGGGTATCTGGGGTACACACACAAACTGGGCAGCGCTGAGCTGTGGGGTCACCATGGCTTGAAATGCTGTTAACTCTGCTGGAGGGAGGAGAGGGCATCCTAATGAACTATATGATAAATCATGAGCCTTTTGTCTTTGGACTAATATTATACACAGTTTGTATTACATATAAATAGGTGTCAAAGTGCTACTTAAAGTGTATTTAGGGAGTACCTGCGCAAAAGCATGCAGCCATTTCAAAAAAGGTAAAATATAGAACAGAGAGCTGAAATGAACTACTTCAACCAAGAGACCTTACAACACCTACCACTCTCCTGTGAAATACGAGTTTTCATTTCCACCTAGGAGCAATTTTACAATCTTTGCATTCTCCTATGCCTGAGGAAGGGTAATTGTGCTCGAAATCTTGCAAATAAAGTATATTGTTTGCAAATATCTAGTTGGGTTAATAAAAGATATCACCTCTGCCATGAGCTCTGATTCCACTTGATTTGACTCCCACGCCAGAAAAGTCAGTTATGAGAAGAATTGTAAAATGCTGCTGTTTAGACACTTCAAAAAAGCATCTTCATTTCATCTGCTAACCCCTCACTCCATCCTCAAAGATGTTAATTTATTCTATCCAATTTATAAAACAATTTCCAATATGTAAAAAATGTGCTAGGATAGAACCTGACTGAAACACAAATGATGGTTTTATTATGTGTTTGATAAACTGTACCTGAGCGCAACACGCACAAACAGCCTGCTGCCCTGAGAATAGCAGCTGTAAATGGCTTTGCAGCAGGATAAAATGAGTTTATCTTCTTTTGCAAAAGCCCTTTGCCCACTGTAAAGTATTTATCAGTCCATATTGCACTGTTATGTACCATGTGAATAAACTCATGTTACCTTAGAAGTGTTATCTGTGCAGTTCAACCTACTCTCTTTAGAAAAACTTAGTATATTATAAATCTTGCACTTTACTGAGCAGTTTCTTTCCAAGACTACTTCATCCTAGCGCTATTTACACATAACAATTTTCAAAATTTATGTCCTTTTGAAATGGATACTCTATAAAGAGCAGGCTGTCTGAAATCATTCCATTAAGAGAGCACTTTTGATAAAAAAGAGGCCAGTGATTTTTTGATGGAAGAGACTGGCCGTCAGGAATTGTATACACCTAGACACGTATAGAAAGGAGTTTCCAACTACTATGATGTGCCATACAGCTGCCTGCTGACTTTTTCATACTGATGCTATGGTTCAAAGCTTATAGAAACCCTGTATTCAACAATAAAAGAAGCCTGAGGATATACTGAAACGTAACATACTGCAACTGTGGGTCCTTAGAAAGATGGAGAGCGATTGTTCAACTCCCATCTTGTACTTTTAGGGAATTATTTAAAAAACAAAAAGAAAAGAAAAGAAACATCACAGTTCTTTCTTGCCAGGTCCCCTCTACCTCCCTAAGTCGTGGCAGAAATCTTGCTAATGGAAACCACTCCAGTGCACTGTCTACATCTTCACTCCCTACCCCACCTTTGAATCCTTATTCCATTAAACGTCTCACAGCAAAGCGCGTGCAGCCAACTTGGTTACATCCTTTCGACTTCCAGTATTTTTGCTGAGATGACTCAGGATGCGCCCACTAGACTACCAAAAGATACGTACCATGGAGCTGGAGCTGGAGCTGGAGCTGTTCCAGTGAACAAAGACAACATACACCTCCAGCATAGTAAATTTACCATACGCATTGGCATACAAGCCAAATGGGACTCAAAGAGACATCAGACCTCTTAGTTGGCTGCCGTCATCAGTCCTTCAACTGATGCCATTTAAAAAAGTCTTCTTTTTAAAATCATTTTTGAAGTACAGACAGTCCTCGACTTACGTTTCAAGTTACGTTTTGCACTTATAATGTTTCTAAATTGACACCGTTTCAACTTTATGACATCAGTTTCGACTTTATAACGCTTGATCTGATTCATGGATTGTAGAGTCGGAAGGGACCACAATGGATCATCGTGTCCGACCCCCTGCCCCAAGCAGGGAAAGGACCGAGGTCAGACGACCCCAGCCAGGTGCCTATCTAGCCTCCTCTTGAAGACCTCCAAGCTAGGTGATAGCACCACCTCTCTTGGCAGCCCGTTCCAGATGTGACGCCACGCCAGCCAACAAGCTCGCTGTGTTGCCCATCTCCCTGGGGAACATCTGTCCAAACTTCCTTGGATGCTTTCTTTAAGAAAGCAGACAAGACTCCAGAAAACCTGCAGCCAAGCCTCCTAAGAAGACTCCAGCCAAGAACCCTTCAAAAAGTCCATCAAAGTCACCTCAAAGAAGTCCTTCCAAATCAACAGGATTGCTATTTACAATATAAATACATGAATGTAGCTATATTACTCATGTATATTTGATCGAGTACAAAATTATAGGTGATGTTTGGTGAAAACAGGGTATCGGGCATTGGTTCAGGAACCAACCCCCCATTTATAACATTGTTTCCTATGTGAAAAACGGTTCCAAGTTACAACGTTTCAATTTAAGACGCCGTTTTCAGGAACCAATCGCGTCGTGAGTCTGAGGACTGCCTGTATTCACAAAGTACCGGCATTAATCAAACAAAAGGATAACGATTAGTAACACCGAGGTGTCCCCTACTGAAGCAAAGTACCGACTTTCTTGTAATTACATTTTCCACTTAAAAAAAGAATCAATCAGGAAACTCGTCTGGATTAAAAGATCCTGGATTCCTGCAATAGCTGTTCGTGGATGAAGAGGACCATTTTGTCAGCACTGATCACATCAGCCCTCAGAAAAAGCCATTACGTCCCCTTCGTTTTCAATTTTCGAACACGTGCTTTAGTGCCGGCCGGCTCTTTTTCGAGCCAGAGAGTCGTTTCGATGGCGTGATAATCGCTTTGCACGCGCGGCTGGTCTCAGTGATTGGGTTCGGGGCGCGATCGTTGCCTGGCGCTTGTCGCCAGTCCGCGTTTATTGCGCAGGGGGCCGCGCAATACATGTAACGTAGCAGGGGGCTGCACAAAACGGAGACCGCCGGGAAACGAGCTGATGTCAGCGCACAGGATTAGCACCAAAATGCCTGTGTGGACATGCTTACTCTGAATTAATTTCCCCCTTATGCAACCGCCCTATATAAGTGAATGGACTATCCCAATTTCCCCCCCCCCCCGAAGGGGGTCATGGACTCTCCCAACAGCGCCTGGAGAGAGAGACTTGGGAAAGTCCACTAGAGTTAGAAAAGGGAAGAGGGGGAGGATAAAAATGGAACGGCCGACTTCACGCATGCGCCCTTCAGCATTATTGCCCTCTTCCCCACGCGCATGCTCCAAGTGGGCAGGGCGTCGCGACACGAGGCTGGCTTTCCAACGCATGCGCAGTGACGGCAAACCCCTCCTCTCGCCTTTCCCTTTGACCTGACGCATTCACGCAAACTTGGGCTCTCGCGAGAGAGCGGGAGGAAAACCGGAAGTTCCGTTGGCGGCGGGACTTCGCGCCGGAAGTCCGCCAGACCGCTCACCTCCCGGTGGGGAGGAGCAGACGAGTCGTGGGGGAAGGAGCAGACGAGTCGTGAGGGGGGGCTAGAGCGGCCGCAGGAAGAGCAGTCCCGGGGCCTACCCCTCAGTCCCACTCTCGCTTCGCCGGGCCCGGTGAGAGCGGGAAGGAGCCGGGCTGGCGCGCAGCGAGCAGGTGCCGAGGGGGGGGAGGGGGAAAGGCCTCGCTCCGAATGGCCCGCTCGTGTGAACGCTCTTAATCCGGATTAGTTTGATCCACTTGCAGCGGGAGGGGGGGTTGTGGGCCAGGCTTGGTGGAGGAGGCACCGGGGGACCGTTTGAAGACCGGGGAGCCCCGTATGGCCTCGTTAACCCAGTTCCTAATGGAGCCCCGTCGAGAGGAGGAGGGCCGCGCGATGAATGTCGCGTCTGCCAGTCTCGATGCGACTCGACAGCTGTCCCTTAAGGGCTGGGACGTTTCGATTCGGAAGCCCCCGAGCCCTTGTCCTCCAGCCGCGGCTTCCCCCCGCCACAGCGCGCGGTGAAGCAGAAATCCTCGCGACCCCCTCGGTCCCGCGTTGGCAGACAGTACAGCGAGCGGTCAGGTGGGCCCGGTCCGCCCGCGGGCGGGCGTGCGTGCGTGCGTGCAGCGAGACCTGGTGCGCTGTCGCCAGAGCGCCGGAAAGGGCTCGACCGACCTTGCTCGCCCCACGCGCCAGGCTGGGCTGGTTTCGTTACGGTCGTAGGACATCAGCGTGCTTCAGAGAGGGATGTCCTGCCTCAGGCAGAGGGATGCACTGATTGGCGTCGTGCGGCAGCAGCATCCCTCTCCAGACCGTGCCTTTAGGCAGACGGATGCACTCATCGGCGTGGTTCGGAGAGGGACGCACTAATCAGCATGGTGCGGCAGGATCATCCCTCTCCAAACCAGGCCTCAGACTTCAGAAGGATGCGCTGTAATCAGCATGGTGCGGCATGGTTTGCAGAGGGTTGCACTAATCGGCGTGGTGCGGCAGGATCATCCCTCCAAACCAGGCCTCCGGCAGAGGGAAGCACTAATCTGTGTTGTGCGGCACGGTTTGGAGAGGGATGCATTAATTGGCATTGTGTGGCAGGATCATCCCTCTCCAAACCATGTGTCAGACTTCAGAAGGATGCGCTGTAATCGGCATGGTGTGGCGTGGTTAGCAGAGGGTTGCACTAATCGGCATGGTGCGGCATGGTTTGGAGAGGGATACACTAATCGGCATGGTGCGGCAGGATCATCCCTCTCCAAACCAGGCCTCAGACTTCAGAAGGGTGCGCTGTAATCGGCATGGTTTGCAGAGGGTTGCACTAATCGGCATGGTGCGGCAGGATCATCCCTCCAAACCAGGCCTCCGGCAGAGGGATGCACTAATCCATGTTGTGCGGCATGGTTTGGAGAGGGATGCATTAATTGGCATTGTGTGGCAGGATCATCCCTGTCCAAACCAGGCCTCAGACTTCAGAAGGGTGCGCTGTAATCGGCATGGTTTGCAGAGGGTTGCACTAATCGGCATGGTTTACAGAAGGATTCATAGACGTTAGGGGTGAAAGGGACCTTGGAAGATCATCGGGTCCAGCCCCTTGCACCCAGTAGGAGAGATGACTGAGGGTGAGGTGACCGTCCAGTCTCCTCTGGAAGATTTCCAGGGTAGTTGATTGCACCCCATCTAGAGGGAGCTTATTCCACAGACTGTGAAGGATGACCCTCCCTGGGGCAGGGGGTCGGACAGGATGACCTCGGGAGGTCCTGTCCGGCCCCACTTCTCTCTGATTTCTATTAAGATTTCTCCAGAGCAGCTAGACCAGGCTGCGGTGGGTTGCAGATGACCGCGCACATCTTCCTACTTTTAGTTTCCTGAAGCAGCCAACAGAAATGTTGCAAAATTTTACGCAATTAAATTGTTGCCAAGTGATGTGTGCAAACAAGCCCTACCCTTAAAATGCAGTCCAGTCCTAAAAGGAGGAGAAACACTGGCTCGTCTCAGCTGGAGTTGGTAGTCCCGGGTACCTTTTTGCTAACAGAATTGTTTCCCTTTTCTTTGTCCCTTGACTGCCTGTTTTAAGGACGTGTTAGAAGCAAGAAAGAACATGTTAATTCAGATGTTTCAGCTGAACTGACACCACAAGGCAGAAACTTGACTGGTTGTGCCTGCCGGCGTGTCCTGACTTGTGGAGCGGTGTGGATATAAATATGAGTTTGCATTTCTTGCAGTGTGCTGACTGAGCCACAGAGCTGGCAGCTCTACACCATCGTACTGACCACCCAGACACGCCATTGGGTGCTTCTATTCCAATTCCTGCAAGATGCCAGCAGCACTTGCAGAGAACAGCCAGGTTATCTGTGAAGTATGGGCAAACAATCTGGAAGAAGAGATGAGGAAAATTCGAGAAATTGTTCTCAGTTACAGATACATTGCCATGGTAAGAATATGGTGCTTTTTAATGACCATTTAAGCTGTCAAAGTAAAGGGACTTCAGCGGGGTAAGTCACTCAAGACAAAAAAAGTGTTTGTTTTCCCAGGTCAGCTTGAGCCCAATAGTACGCGGAGCAAACAGTTGGGAAACTAGTTAGCACTCAGCACTTGACTGCGTTTTTAATATATAGACTTTCTTAAGATTTATACAGATAACTTTATGCTTCATTACATACCTGCATAATTTCACAGGGCAGGCAATCCTGAGCAGATGAGATCTGTTATACTTACTGACAGGGATTGTATTACTTTGTTTGTATGAGAGAGAATTAAAATAACAAGATGGTCATTTGGTCGTAAACATTTTGATTTAGCTAGCTTGAATGACATGGGCGATTTGGCTGAGAGAAATTTCTTGCTGGCATATAGCAAAAGGCATGCAAGTCGCAACTCGTTAGCTAATAGGACTGCTCCATAATGGTCAGTCACTACAGCCGCAAAGTGGAGGATAATTTGGCCTCAAATATCACGTCGACTTGTTCAGATAGACACATTTATCTCACATTTCTGAGAATCTTGTTGAGGTGGAATTCCTCATGTGGTCGGGTGGGAGCGGGGAAAACATTTCAAAACTAATTAAATATAAATCTTGGATTTACTTGCTTCATGCCATATTTGATCAATAATTACATTTAGTTATAATTAAATAAAAGAGCTGACCTTTACTTAATGAAGCTAAATCTCAATATAGCTAAAGTCCCTTGCAAATTGTGTGCAGGGGTGTGTGTATACACATTGAATGCTGCTTAAAAATTGGGTTGGTCTAATAAAAGAGATCAAATTCACCCAAGGAACCTTGTCTGCTTAAAATCTAGGCTGTTATGAAGGCTGTTTCTTTTAAACGTGGGTCCTTCTGCAAATGCTGGGGTGTCTAAAAAGGCCAATTCTTAGTGGCACCCACTATGTGAATGGGTAAATATGAACGGATTCCATCCCCACTGAAACTCTCATGCCTCTGGCGCCCATGTGCTGAAACAGGAGCTTCTACTTCCCCCACCCAGCATATCTTTCTATGTGATCTTGCAGTTAGGATGACTGCTTGGCACGGCAGTTCTGTAGCTAGTCTGAAGTCACATACGCTTGAATGACACTGTAGGATCAGACAGAGGAAAGGTTGGGCTGCAGAGAGATTTTTGCAAATATGCAAAGAAAGATTCACCTCTTGTATCTGCTCCTTGGCAAGACTAGTCGATAGCAGCTGGATGAGCATCTCTTGAGCGAGAAACCGCAGGAATTTGACATCATAGCAAAGACAACGTGCAATTATTGGCTAACTAATGTGTTTTATATTAAACTTTTTCTCTGTTATTAAGGAGCCTCTTTACGCTTTGATACTGTATAAGTTACTAGCTGGTTTAGAGTGAATGTTTTCCAAAACCCAATGCTAATCTGCCATAACCCGGAATATCATACTACGAACAAAACCACATTGTTGTTCTTTTAAACCAGTGTTTAGAACCATATGAATTGATGGCTCTAAAATCGACACTTCTGTAGTTATTGGAAAGATGAAGAGGTTATTACCCAAGGTGGGGGGGTAATAATCTCCTAGCTATCTATGGCTGTGCACTATGAATGACTGGGTGTATTAGACTTTTGCATAATAAAATGTGAAAAAGGGTGCCAAATATAATTAAATGGTGGCAGGTGCTAGCAAACTACATAGCCACGGAAAGATGCTTTTTTCTGCCCCCTCTGGAAATTGGGGATGAAATGGAAACAGTATGCAATTGCAGATTTTCTTAACGTTTTCTAAACTTTGTTCAATTACCCTAGTTGTATAAAGAAATAAGCAAGCAGTATGAATTTCAGGTTTCTTGGTTATTTCAAGTACCACTGGAAAAAAAGCAGATAAAGCAAAATTATTCTTAAATTGATCATTTTATAGAAAAGGTGGCTGTTGCAGTTTTTAGAGCCCTAGTTGTCAACCAGAACGTGCAGCTTTGCTAACTTTCTTCACCTGTGTTTCTTTACTAGGACACAGAGTTTCCAGGAGTTGTGGTGAGGCCAATTGGTGAATTTCGGAGCTCCATCGACTACCAGTATCAGCTCCTCCGGTGTAACGTAGACCTCCTGAAAATTATCCAGCTGGGCTTAACCTTCACGAATGAGAAAGGAGAGTATCCTTCTGGGATCAACACCTGGCAGTTCAATTTCAAATTCAATCTAACGTAAGTCTTCTGAATCACAGAACAAGTGACCCAAAAAACGTTCTTAAACGGTCTGGCATCCACATTCAGGTGAATGCTTTGCATGTCAACAGCATAATCATTAACGAAGTTACTGTTAACGGGAGAACAATGGCCAAAAGTTTGCTAGAGTTGAAGTTGACAATTAGAAAAACTTTTTCATCTGTAATTCAATCTGATCTCCAGGTCACTGAGAGACCAAAACTATAGGGCCCGGTGATGCTTTTGTTGGTCACTGTACTTGTGTTTTGAAAGGAAGGGAAGGGGATCCTTCTTGTTGGGCATGAGCCTGCCTGACCAGCCCAGCTGATGTGAAGCTCCCATTTCCTTTTAGGGAGGACATGTACTCACAGGATTCCATAGATCTCCTGGCAAATTCTGGGCTGCAGTTCCAGAAACATGAGGAGGAAGGGATTGATACCCTGCACTTCGCAGAGCTGCTCATGACCTCAGGGGTGGTCCTCAGCGACAATGTTAAATGGCTCTCGTTTCACAGGTGTGTCCAAGAGGAATGCAGGGAATGTTGGGGCTGGAAAATGAATGGCAATTCTCTTGTCAATAAGATCCCTCTCATCTTTATTCTGAGGCACAAGTCCAGCTTTCAAGGGGTGAATTTATATCTTTGTAGCTTCGGTTATTTAAGTAAATGGAGAGTGCAGTGCATGCAGGTGGTTTGGTACCATTTCCTTTGCCCTAAACCTGGGTATAGTCCGTGCTCGCAAACAGGAGATGTTAACAGAGAACAGAAGTGAAAACCTAAGGAGGAGTTTATTAAATTTAAGTACCCTGGGACATAAGGGGTTTGTTTCCTTGTACCAGACAATACTGCTTCTTTCTCTCACGAACTTCGCTTTGAACATATATTTACTGTTTGGAGAAAGAGGGCTTGAAGTTGAGGCTTGCTTATCTCCTGAGTTATTTGAATGCCTAGTTGCTTCCCCCCGACACCATCCCAAGTTGAGGTAAGAAGCAGCAAAGGGGTAGGTCTGTAAGATTAGCTCCTATTTTCTCTCTTACACGTTAAAAATTCCTCTAGTCACTGAGAAACTATCTATACGTGGAAGAAAGGCATTTGTTTCCCCCCACCCAACAGTCTAGCTATTTTTATTTTAGCTTATCTTGTGAAACTTTAGTATAGATGAGGCAAGCAGAGGTCCTGTCTCAAGGTGAGCAGCATGAATGCTAGGATCTGGTTAATAACAACTCTGATGTAAAGAAAATGTTATGCCTTTGGCTATTTCTGTTGCTTATTTAATAGACTTTGTACCACTCTATTGTCAGTGGCTACGATTTTGGCTACATGGTGAAATTGCTGACAGACTCCAGACTCCCTGAGGAGGAACATGAATTCTTTCATATTTTGAACCTTTTCTTCCCATCCATCTATGATGTCAAGTACCTAATGAAGAGCTGTAAAAACCTTAAGGTATTTACTTCTTATCAGTAGCTGGATTGCATTAGCAAGTGGGATTTCCACTGTTCATCACATCTTGTATGCAAAAGCCCAAATGTAGGATGGATCGTAGTTGTACAGTATTTTGACATTTGTATCTGTGTATAGTAGGCATGCTCCAATTACTTTGGTTTTAGCTGCACGTCACCAGGAGAAGATAAATTTGTTCCGTTTCCCCATATCTTTTGACTGGTCGGTTAGGAAGCATTCACAAGAACTTCTGCTTCAGGGGGCAGCTTTTTCAAAAGCTGGCTGAGACCAAGTGTGCTCTTTCCTGCTTAAGATGTCAATCAGCATTTTCACTCTAAGTCGATATGACTTAGCTAAAGGAAGCATGCTGCCTGGTAGCCTTCGTAGGGGCAGATTCCAGGTGATAAAAATAATTGTTCTCCTTCCTTTCCAGGGAGGTCTTCAAGAAGTTGCAGATCAGCTGGATTTGCAACGAATTGGACGACAGCATCAGGCAGGATCGGACTCGCTGCTCACGGGAATGGCCTTCTTCAGGATGAAAGAGGTATCCATGAATTGCTTTCCTCTTTCCAGCTGCAGAATTGGAGGGAGAACCCAGGCTATGGCTTGTCTGTTCTCTTCCCTACCCATTGTCCCCACACACACCTCCTGGCCTCTTGATTTTTTGGAGTCTTGTGCCAGCCCTTTATGCTTCAAAAAATGAGCCCCCCGAGTTCTCTTCCCCTGGTTGTTAATTGCTGCCTTCCACTGCTGAAGCCGCTGCATTTAAACAAAGCTGTATGCATATGAGGTTAAACTGCTTTACAAATGCACGCTAAAAAAGGGAGAAATCAGTAAATAAAAAGAAATTTTTCCCCTCCCTTGCAGTTGTTCTTTGAGGATTCAATTGATGATGCAAAGTACTGTGGCCGGCTGTACGGCCTTGGCACAGGAGTGGCACAGAAGCAAAGTGAGGACGTGGAGTCGGCTCAAGAGAAGATGAGCATTCTCGCCATTATCAACAACATGCAGCAGTGAGAAATGGAGACCCGTCAGCAGGACATGGTCCCAGAACAGCAACTGCTGTCAGAAACTTTTCCAATTCTGCCAAACAAAAGGCATCTACCGCATGCATTTGGCAGAAAGACTAGAGTTTTGATGAAGGGGGAAAAAAAAGCATCTTCATTTCAAACCTAAAAGGGAGTTCTGAATTCATAACAATACCAGCATTGGTGGTTTGCCATCTTTTTAATACCAAGGGCAGGAGAGAGAATCTAAATGTGTATACCTCCTCTTTTTTCTTTTCTTTTCTTTTTTTTTTAAATACCAAATCTGCAAGGAAGACTTAAATGGAGAACATTCAGCAGAGCTGAAGTTCTGAAATGCCAGTGAAATAGGACACAGCAACCTTGCAGGGCCCTTTAGGAAGCTTATTTTAAAATTTCTTGTGCATGCTGTGAGGTGATGTCTGCTCCTCATCTTTTGCTCACTTTTATCCCTCTGTGTCATTTATGTAATGACCCTCTCATTCACGGCAGAGCATGGGGAACAAAGCAAAGCACCTTCTCTGCAGCAGGTGTTCAGCTCGAGCTGTCTTGCCTCCAGCCAGGATGGCTGCAGGATGGGTGTTTTGAACAGCTGTGCTGTACAGGGTCCCTTGGGACTGTTGTGCAATACAAGTGTGTTACACCACTGAGCCTCGTTTTAATTCTCATAGTTATGAACAGAATAAACTGCTGAGTAGATATACCAGCCTGGAAGCTTGCCTCCTTCTAGAGATTTTGTAACAGGAATTTGGACCAAAACAGTTTCAGCCACCCAGTTTCACTTGATGATGTAGAAGATCTTGTTCATCTCACTTCAGTATGTAGGAGTAGTTTACTAGGCAAATAATTATATTTACTTTCATATTGGAGTGATGTTTAAACAGGCCTCAAAGCCACTGCATCTCCCTTTGTAAAGATTTGAGGAGTATCCTAAAGAGTGGAGATTGAAGGCTCAGGAGTCCGATTTTTGACTAGAGGTTCTAATACTACACATTATTTTTGAACAGCTCTGAATATGTTTCTATAAGAAAAAAAAACCTCTTTTGAACAGCAAATTAAACCTCTCATTTTAAGTCTTGCATTTTAACAAGCTTAAATGATTCTTGATTGATGTTAAACTGGTAATTAAAATGCTTGTAAATACTATGTTTTTAATTTTGTAAAATAAAGGTTTTGGTTTTTTTTTTACCCAGGCCCTGTTTCTGGTCTTCTGCAAAGCACCAGCTTGGCAGCTGAGCTGCTGCCCTCTCTGTGACTAACACAGGTCATGAAGTGGCCACTTGCACTTGCAGTTTTACTCTACAGGCAAATGCAGTAAGAGCAGTTCTAACCAAACTGAACAGTAGTGAAGCAACTGAGATTCATACATCAGTTGATGGAGCCTCATCCTTTAAATTATTTATACTGCTATCATCTAGCAGGTCCACCAGGCCAGCAGTTTGTTCAAGACAGTCCCCTATGTGAAGGTTTCTTTCCATTGAGCGGTTGGAGTAAAAGAGTAGCTGACTGATCCAATTCTCTTGGGAGAAAATGCTGCTGTAAAAATCACAATTCAGGATTGTGAATCTCTAATCTAAATTCCTGTCTCTGGGAAAGAGATGAGATGCAGGCATACTCCCATCCTCCATTCTTCCACTTCGTTACCTTGATAGGAAGCCGTGCTCAGCTTGCTGGCTTCTGTGTACCCAGGCAGTGCACAGGAACTGGGCAGAAAATCCTGTTAGGGATTTGGACACCTATACGTTTTGCGAGGCAGAGCTCAAGTCCCTTTGCTGTAGGTTCTTATGCAGCATGGCCTCAAATTAGTCTTGCTACTATAAAAAGCTAATTCCGTTGCTGGTCATCTTTATACCTTCTGGTTCCGGCAGCAGCTCTGCTTAGCTTCTTCCTAGGCTGCTACTGCTTACAGACGCACAGCATTGTAAAGCCACAGCTCCCTCTCCTGGTTTGCAGGCACTTTGCCGTGAAGAGCCTGGCTATCTGGTTCTCTATGGCCCATCCGGAAGGGTTTAGATGATAGCTGTCTGAGAACTATTCTGCAATTCACCTTAATCAGAATCAGGACTATGTTCCTACCTACTTCTGCTCTGCCAAAGCAGCTTTGATGCGCTTTAATCTCACTTCTTTAGGATGGATCAGGTCCTCTGTCTTGCTCTGCCTTTGAGGCCAGATGACAGGTTAGATTAGGACATGTGCATGCTCCTCCCAAATTCTATTCATCTTCAAAGCCTTAGCTTTACCTGTAGTATATGTAAATCCATCTCTCTGATCTCTCCATGCCCTAAGCTGCTGTGGATTTCTGCTCTGCAGCACTTTCCTCTCAATGTTTAAAATAAAGCTTGTGTCTAGGTTTCAGCTCAATTTACAAGGGTTACTTGACTTTGACCGGCACAGCCCACTTTTGCTTCCTATCCTCTTTACCTGGGCAAACTCAAGGCTGCTGCTGCTGAGTTTATGGGCATGACAACATTTTGCACCTTCCAGGGGGAGCTGACAATTCAAATGAGGAAAACCAAACAACAGGACCCCTTCCAGAAGCAGGCTTCCGGCTGTACTGTTGTTTCATGAAGAACGGAACCAGTCCTTAGTGGGTTCATTTTTCTAACATTTTGTGAAGACTGCTAGTGTCTCCAACTGCACACAATTAAGACCTTCATTTTACATCCTACCTGAAACACTGATGGTCCAAGTTCCTCTGCTGTAGCAAAAGTAGCTTCCTCTGCAGCACGTGGAAAGGTTGACACTTCCTAGCAGATGGATGTGAACTTTGTCATGAAAAACAAGGTGTTCGTTGTGCTCTGTACAGAGCAATGAGCGTAAGCACTTCTTTGCTCTACTTAGCTGATGTTCATGCCTTGGTTTAATTCTATCACATGTATATTTTAAGTACCTAGAATAGCTTTAAAAAAAATTCAAAAACACTAGCCTCACACTTATTAGCAAACAAATACTTTTATCTCCACCAACCTTTCAAATTAAATGCAAGACTGGAAGTATAAGGCTTTTATTTAAAGGAACACAAATTTCCTGGACATCCAAGAAAACCATCAATCAATTTCCCAGACTCCCCAGACTAACACTGGCTTGAACATTAAGTCCTTTAAAATAAAAAACATATTGCTCCTTTTATTTAAGAGACAGCTAATGCTCCTATACTGCCAAAAGGTAGCTGTAGCCGTTCAAACCATTTACCATGTTTTCACTGTGTAAATCCAAGGGCTTCCCTTGCATAATTTTCCTCTCTCCAGAAATTAAAAAACGAAATATAAACAAGATCTTGTATACATTAAGGGCAGAAGCCAACGTCTCCTAATGTTATGGGTACAGTATCGCTCACGGAGGCGCATGAGGCCACGAGTAGCTGACTGGCTGGTAGTGAAAGTCTATGTAAGCTTGACTTTACGATCCGCGCTCCTTCCAGAACAATGGTTCTTCAAGAAGCAGTGGTGGCAGTAGAGACCATTCCTCGGTTCAGAGAAGAACCGCCCTGGCTTGGTGGAGCTACCGCCAGTGGAGGGGGCTGGGTGTGAAAGTAACATCACGTTAAGAACTTCCCACAGATCTTCTCATGCTCCCCGTCTCGAGTGAACTTCCGCAGCAGGTCCAAGGCCTGTTGCCGCAGTTCCGGACTCACGTCGCTGTGGCTCTGGGAATGGATGTGAAGGAACACCAGGCTGCACTCCAGCACATCTGGGAATGGGAAGGCCTGCGAAGAAAAAAGAAAAGCACCATGTTGTGTTTGTGCTGGGAACTGGAAATGCTAGTGTGGAGACCAGAGACCAGGGCCCTCTCTGGAAATGAGGCCTAGACTGGCATAAGGCATGAGCAAGCCAAGTCTGGATGCAATACTACTCATTCCCTCTTCCAGTGTGCACTGGATTTATGTCCAGCCAACTTCCCTCCCTCCCTCCCAAGCATGTACCCTGCCTCACAACTGCCATCTTCTATGGAAGGACCCCAAGGGGCACAAAATGGGCAAGACAAATGGCTTTGGCATGTTGGTTTCTTTAGGGGATCCATTACTGCTCACGATCCAGTTTCATCTCTACAGTCCCAGCCCCTCTCCCGGCAAGGGAAGCCACTGGTACTGCTTCCCCACACGCACTGTCTAGAGGGTAGTGCAAACAGTGCTACCAAAACCAAGCTACCCTTAACCAACCGGACTTTCACTGTAATCTGCATTATGAACAAGGTGAGCTGCTACGTGGTTTTGGGGTGGCTGCGAATAGTTTTTTCCAGCCGCCATGCGATATTAATGGTCTCTAAAGTGACATAAGCAGGCATCTACTGAGACACAAAGCCACGCTTCTGTCCTTGTGTCTCCAAGCAGCGAAGCAAGGAACATTTGAGCAAGCCCTCATTCAGGTTGCCGATTTCTCTGTACAGAGAAATCAAGAAGCCCTTAAACTTGCAGCGCTGGCACAGAAATGACAGCAGGAGAGGGATTTCATAGGACGTGGATACCTGAGAGCAAGAACGGGGTGCAGTAACCCAGGCAGTGCCTACCAGTCCTGCAACTCTTAGCTGTAAAGCCACCTCCTTCCGAAACCATTTTAACCTTACCTTTAGACTGTCTGGAAATTCTGCTAGTTGCTGCTTGGCCTCTGCCAGCTGCTTTGACAGGTCAGGAAGGGAAACCGGTTCCTTTGCTACTGCTTTACTGTCAAGAGAACATTCATGGAAAGGTCATGAACAGTGGCTTTGTGCAAGTGCATGCATACTCTCCCAACCAGCAGAGCAGAGTAGGTAGAAGAACCAGAGCCAGAATATCACCCCCGTGACCCCTACCTTGCAAAGGTGACTAGAACCCAACTATCAACAGAGAAACAGAAACTCCTCTGTTGAGCCTGCCTCTTCCCCTCCCCTCCCCTCCAAATGCTCTGTACGAAGGAGGCACAATCAGAGCATTAGCTATTACCCTAAGGCTATTTATTCTTCTACAGGAAATGAGTGAGGTGGAGTCAGAATTCAGGGCTGATGGTAACCAGTTGGCTGACTGGTTGAAGTTTTTACAATGGGGTTTGCAGGCCTGGGGAAGCCAAGCTGGACACTAGGGCACACCTGTGCTGAACAGCAGCTTTGCTCTCCATCTGTCAAGTGAGAAAGCAGCAGCTGTCCTAACCCCAGTCCAGGATGGTGGAAACTTACCCTGGGCTCTGGCTGCCTGGAGGGATGGGCTTGTCCGACTCACTCTCGGGGCTGGGCTGCAGCTTGCTCTCCTGCAAGCTGTTTCTTTGATGCTGGCGGATCATGTCGGCCAGAGTCTCCTGGATCTTGGCAATGTCTTTCTGGGTGTTCTGCAAAGCAGCAATCTCTTCCGAAAGGAGCACTTTACATCTATTCACTTTCAGCTGCCTCTCTGTTCGATCCCCTGAGTCAGCTGCACAGGGCCCAGGGCAGGAAGCAGGTATGCTGGGGGGATGTTCTTCCAGCTCAGGTGCCATTCCTTCCGCAAAGATGCCCGAGACAGCATTCTGTTCAGGAGCTGCCTGCTCGCTAGGGCAAGACACAGACTCTGGCACCATCTGTTTGGAGACGGGGGAGTCTGTGGGCAGGTTCCACCACAGATCATACAGCTGTCCGTAAGCCAGGAAGCCTTCTAAACTCTTGTGAGCTGCCATGCTCCGAGAGCTCGTGCTGTCCAGTTTGTGCCTCAGGTCATCGCAGCCTGGCAGGGGAGGGGAGGAGGAAAGATGGGTTGTAAAAGGATTTCCTGAAGCCACACATGCCACTGCCCAACACAGCAATATTCTGCAAAGTTGTGTGCGAGGGCAGGATCCCAGAGTCCAACAGCACTTGGCTGTGTAGTGCAGGGGAGCAGGGAAAAGCCCATCACCAGCGACCTCCAGCCTTCTGAAACCGACTCCCACGCACAACCGGAACTACCACAGCAGATCACACTGAGGGGCTATCCAGCCCAAGCTCCATCACAAGTAACTAATACCAGTGCAAGACACCCAGCAGAGCACAATTTGGTTTGAGTAGGGGTTTCTTCTGAGCCCCAGGCGGGCAGTGGAGCAAGTAGGGTGGATCCTGCCAGTACAGCGTTCTACCCCAGCTAGTGAGACTGAATGCTCTCACTGTCCATGGGAACATCTTGAACCCTACTAAAACCTCCCAGAACCTAGCTGAGGGGATTAGGGGTTATCCAGCAGTTCCCATGCAAAAGGTCACGGCCCCAAATGGCATTAGCAGCATTTAGCGAGCCCTCGGCGAAATCCAATTATAGCAGCAGGGTGCAGCCTGGAGGTGGGGCTGAGAGGCAACCAGAAACGGTGCTAGGAAAAGAGTTCAGGAACTGTGCAGTCGCAACTGCTAGCACAGAGCAAACAAAGGAGGAGGTTTACCTTCGGGAAGGAGGAGGCTGCATATTTCTTGCAGAAGAGTGAAGTTGCCAGCATCACAGCTGCGGGTCACGGCACTGAGAAGAGCTGTCACTGCCTCCTCCCACAAAGCAGTCTGGTAGCTCAGCACTGCCAGGGTCAGATCGTGGGCGATGTGGAAGAGCAGCTACAAGAGGCACCACAAATCACTGTCAGCAGCTTAGCCTGGGAGCCCTTTGTGCCTCGTGGCAATTTGCAGTGCCAAACCCAGGAGCTTCCCCCAAAACACACTACTTAACCACTGCTACAAGCTACACGGCTGATTTCAGCTGAGGGGATGAAGGCTCTTCAGACTGGAGCATCATTATAGGCTTGTTACAGGCTTGCACAATGGTCAGTGTGAGCCGTCTGCTAGAAGGCCTTGGCCAATACGTCTCAGCAACGTTAACATCAGCTATTATGCCAGTTTTTGTCCCAAGCAGGGATGGCTGGGCCACACTGCATAGTTGCCAACTGCTAATCACCTGCTAATACTCTCACCAAAACTCATTTTTCATTCAGAGTGAGTGCAGGGCACCTGAAAATGGCTATGGCTGTTACCCCAGACAACTATGCAAATCCAGCCCCATTCACACCTGCAGCAAGGGCCAACTAGCGCACAGAACCAGGATAAATTACCTGCTTGGGATGGGTGTTGGTGGTAGCGGGAGGATACAAAATACCATGCAGCTGCTCCCACATGGTCTTGGCCTGATCCACGGTGCTCACTCCGAACGCGCTCTGCCACACCTCAGTCACCATCTCAAGGAAGGAGTCTTTGTCCCTCACATCCCAGCTGTGGTAACAGGGCAAGGAGCTCTTCTGCTCAGCTAGATTTCTTTCACTGAGGCACTTGCAAAGCAGTTCATGAAGGCAAAAAACTAGCCTCTGTCCCTGCAAACAGAAAGAAAACACTGAGCTGTGTCTAGAGCAGGGAGAGGAACCTTTAGTGACACAAGCAGATAAAACAGAAACCCTTCCCTCAAAGGCTCAGGTGTGTCACTTGTTGTGGACTGCTCTACGTACAGCTGCTGCAGGCTGACAGTCGTGGATCCACAGAACAAAGCCAGAAGAAGCCTGACCTCCTGCGGAACAGAATTCCACCCGCTCGCTCCCAGCTCAAACCCAGCACGCTTGGCAGGACTACAGTGTATGCTTTTGGGTAGATCTGCAACCACATATTCCTTCTCCCGATAATCCCTGCTCAGGTACAGCCATGCCTCAACTCCCCCCGATCACAGCATCCCTCTAAAACCCACAGTTTAGGAGCCAGTTTAACAGTGACAAATCCT